CTCATCTGAAAATGTAACTGCTATCTTGTATTTTAATAGCAGCCCTAGTAGAAGGGGGAGTTAAGTAGAAAAATAATAATGAATAAAACAAGCAGAGGAAATGTCTTGGGCCCTGTACTTGGCCCCACACTTAGGAATAAGAGGCCAAAGAAAGAAGGAACATGCTGAGTTCTAGGACTCCCTACATCACTTCATTAAACTTAAGGCCTATTTTTGTGCAGACACACAGATTTTCCTGATACCAAAAACTGAGTAGAATCTTCCCTGTGGTTCATCCAAGAAAGGTCACTGTGTTTTATTCACAATGAAATGACTGTCCCCTTGCTATCTGTAAATGCTACTCTCGGTCCTCTGCCTCCCTCATATTACAGAGCCCTTAGCTGTCCCTGTCAATTTGCTCTGAGCTCAACAGCCCTGCTGTTAACACACAGCCTCGCCCGACCCCAGAGCACCTTAGGAAACTGCTCCGCAGCACCACCCTTCCTAGGACTCTCGAGCAGGTTTTGGTTTTGGGGTTTTTTTTTTTGTGGAACCAGGGATTGAATTCAGATCCTTGCACTTGCCAGGCAAGCACTTATTCTACTGAGCCATCTCCCCAGTCTGTTGGTCCAGTTTAAAGCATTTTCTTGCTCTACTTACAAGAACTGTTAAGTTTTAATACATGAAAGCAAGACAAAGAGTATACACATTTTATTTTTTCTTTACAGAAGTGTAAACATCTTCTAATAATGATAAATGCCTTTTACAATACAGCTGGCAAGATCACAACTTCTTCATTTGGAAATTTAGGCTGTTTTCATGTCTCCCTAACATATGCACACTGCAGTAGACATCTTTCCTCACTGCTCCTTGGGTATCTAGTTAGAAGTTTATTTTGGTTAGTAGTTTATTTGGCTAAGTTCCCAGTGGCAGAAATGTCTGGAACAAACAAAATATGGTTTTTTAAACTTTTTTAAAGATATGTAAGAGAATTTCTTATCTTCCCAAATTCTCTCCATGTCCTCCAAGATAATAAATACTCTAGAACCAGCCAAATAACTCAGCAGATTAAAGTACCTGCAAGCATGCGCAGGGGCCGGGGGTTCCATCCCTGGGCCTGTCGTGCCAGCCCCGCCCCCCAAGGGACCCTGAGACATGATTGATACTGGGCATGGTATGCCTGTAATCCCAGCTCTTGGGAGGCTGTAAACAGGCAGATCATTATGAGTCAGATCAAGTAGTGAGACCCTAAACACCCTGTAGATCCTTTTCTAAAATACAAAAAGAAAAGAAAAGAAAGACAAAAAGGGAAAAAAAAATAACATGATAAGGATAAGCCAATAGTATCAGTTTTAACCATTAATGTAAATGGTCTCAGTTTACCAATCGGAAGAAACAGAATGGCAGAATGGATTGAAATGCAAGATCCAACAGTATGCTGCACACAAGAAACACATTTAATTCAAAAAAGAAATCAACAGACTGAAAGTCAAAGGATAGAAAACAATACTCCATTTGACAGGAACTTAGAAAAAAGCAGGAGTAGCTATTCTACTTGTAGACAAAGGATATTTTAAGCCAAAACTGATTAAGAGAAACAAAGAAGGGTGCTACATCCTTCTTTGGGAATAATACCAGAGGAAGAGATGGCAATCATAAATATAAATGTAGGGCCCGGGAGATGGCTCAGTGGAATAAGCACTTCCCTGGCAAGTGCAAGGGCCTGAGTTTAA